GGATTTGAGCTACTTTTAAAGGACTAGAGTTTTTTCATCTTAATATAAAGCTCAACTTGTGTCATGGGAATAGTTACACCCAACCTTGGGTAGTCAGGGTAGGCTTTCCAGAGACAGTGGTTCTAATCTTAGACCAGAGTAAGTTGCAATAACCTGAGAGGGTGGAAAGGAGGGGGTACAAGTGTTTCAAGCAAAGTGAGAAAAATGCAAAGTGTTAGGAATAAATATAGCCTAGGCATTAAGAGCTAGGCTTCCTGGGCTTGGATGAGTTTTCAAGATAGGGTATATGTCAACAAACTTAGAATCATTGAGTCAGTGTGAACTGGGACTAATGCAATCTGCCATAAGCGATTCTGGTAAGAAAAGTATGACTCAGGCAGACCCTGTCAGAAATGCCTATCAAATTGATTGGTTAAATCCTAATAGCTACTGAATATTGTGCTAGCTATGCAGAGGCTGAAAAACTGTAATCCAGTCCAAAAGGCACTACTGTGGTGTGCTTCTGTTCATCTAAGCAGGGCCTAGAATTTAGAATACAGATCACAATGACTGTATACACATATGGGTGTCTTTCACTGAACATTAAAATTGACGAATGAATTAGAACTCCAACATTCTTTGAAATAGTTTATTTTCAGCACAGTGGCTGAAAGACCCAGGATCAAATATAGGCTGGAATATTTGTCATGAATGCAAAACACCTGGGACCTGGGATTTAACGTGTTGCCTTAAACACCAGAAAGAGCCATTTTGTTAAGATAGCTAATTAAAGCCTGGAGTCAAACTTGGCCCACTGCTAATAACATAACTTCTCTGATGCACCACAGAGAAAGGTGTCCAAAGGTCCCAAGTGATCAAATATTGGAATGAATTTATTACTGTTAAAGATTTGAGATGTCTTGGCCGGGCGCAGTGGCTCACGCCTCTAATCCTAGCACTCTGGGAGGCCAAGGCAGGCGGATTGCTTGAGCTCAGGAGTTTGAAACCAGCCTGAGCAAGAGCGAGACCCCATCTCTACTAAAAAAGAAAGAAATTAATCGGACAACTAAAAATATATAGAAAAAAATTAGCCGGGCATGGTGGCGCATGCCTGTAGTCCCAGCTACTTGGGAGGCTGAGGCAGAAGGATCGCTTGAGCCCAAGAGTTTGAGGTTGCTGTGAGCTAGGCTGACGCCACGGCACTCACTCTAGCCCGGGCAAAAGAGTGAGACTGTCTCAAAAAAAAAAAAAAAAAAAAAAAAAAAAAAAAATTTGAGATGTCTTGAAAGAGGGTCAAAGGCACCCTTGCAGAGCTCTGTGGTATCTGTTTTCTATAGGCTACAGATGATGATGAAAACTGCTGCAGCGGAAATGGCCTTCCTGATCTTTATGGTTATCGTGTAATTCCAGAGTGCCAGAGACGAAGGGCCATAATTACCCACACTAAGTTACAGGGGAGGAGAAGTAATCAGTGTTTTGATCCAGAGTGAACTGTGGCAATGACAACTCAGTTACAGCTCCTTAAAAATGAAATAGATGGCCTATTAAGCTACTTATTGATATATTAAATATTTAAAGAAGAGATCCTGGGTGAGGTGCTTGCCTCATCCCTCAGCGATTATTGATGCTGCTGAGTGGGAGAATCTGGTGGTTCTCGTCCTGCACTCATTCGTTCCTGCTTGCTCAGGTTGAATTCTGTAGCTACTTCCTCCCTCTTTGTAGGATGGATGCCTAGTCTTTTTTTCCAACTCTTATTGCTCTTTTCCTTGTGTAGACCGCATTCTGTGTCACCCTCTGGAGCAGCATGCATTCTAGCAGTTTTTTTGAATCCTTAACTCCTGTTTCCTCCCATGTCTTTTTAAAGGATCTCAATACATGTTGTCAAATTGGTCCTCCAGAGAGTTATTACTTACCTTGCCACTAGTGGCGTTTTAGTTACATTTCTTGACAGTCCCACTAAAATTGAGCATCATTATACCTTTTATATGTTGTCTATCAGCTTAAAATGTGATCTTTTTATTAGTGAAAATAGAACTTTTCCCCTCACGTTTATCTTTTGAGAATAAGCCGTTAATTTTTTAGAAAAGTTTTCCACACGTGTTCAGCTTTTCAAAATATTAATATAAACATCAATTACACATTTTCATATATTTAATGCATCTGCATTACATATGTAAATATTGAGTTAAATATTTTTCCACAGATTTGAAGTGACAATTTATGATATGCTAAATTCTTACTAACACCCAGGTCTAGTTACAATCCTCACAGATCCCAATTCCTAGGCTAGTATCACACTGTTACTAGTAATGTTCCATTGCCCTTTTAAAAAAATGTTCACAGCTATTTTGTTACTTCTACAAAATAAACTTTATAATCACTTTCTGAAAACCTCCCAACTGAATATTTGATTAGAAATTTTCTTTCATAGTTTAATGTGGGGAACTCAACATCTCTACAACAGTCTTCCACTCTGGACATGTCTTTCCACTTATTTTTTGAGGAAAGTGAGTATATGTAACATTTCTGAATTCATTTATTAAATCCAACGGTTTTTCAACTGATTAGGTTGCCCCAATGGGCACCCTTATCAGCAAATGATTTTCTCCTTTCCAATTTGTTTTCCATCTCATTATTTCAATTAGCATTTTCAGCTAAATAATTGTGGAGTTAACAAGAACTTTCTCACCATTACCTTTAGGCTGAAATCCGAACTTCTAAGGTGGCTTTCAAGACCTTTCGTGATGTGGCCTTTGAGTCTTTCTAGCTTTACCTCTATGTGAAGTGAAAGCTTCATTTTTTGCCAAAGCCAGTGAACTTTTCCTGAACATGCCATGCCCTCGTTCCTCTGTACTCTTTTTCATTTATCATCTCTCCTAACATTCCCACCCTCTGTCACACACAATCTAGCTAATCTGTGGTTTTTCTTCATGTTTTAGCTTAGATTTCTGCCTTTGATGGTATACAGTAAAATTCAAATATTTATTAGTAGGCTTCTGGAACAAGACTGGGGGAAGATTTTAATTGGCTGTAAATGTTCCACAAGAATTAAATATTAAATGCACTCTAAAAAGGCATTATTTGAAGCTATAACTTAGTGAACATAGTAAACAAGTTTTTTTAAAGAAAGTTTAGAGATTTAGGAGGAAGAAAAATAAGCATTTTACTTAGACCCAAATAGCTGCTGAGAGAAAAGATTAAAACAATACTTTTACTTTTCAACCACACCAGAAAAAAATCACAGCCTATAATGGAATACCTAAAATAAAAAGATTGCATATATATGTTTAGGGGTGCTATGATATGATCACAGCTCACTGCAATCTCAAACTCCTAGAATACATTATATTTAACATGTCATAAGTGCTTTGATGAATGAACTACACCTCAAGAATGTTTTACATTCAGATTGTTTTTCTGTTAGGATCTCCTAAAAGTTACCTTATGTTTATCTGAATTTCCGTATTAATTACCTATGTAGGGTTTTGTCCTAATACAATTGGTGTTACTACATGAAGGATGAATAATTTTCCACATTAGCTAATCATAGGAATTTACTCCAGTATACCTTTTCTGCATTTGAATAAGGTATGAACTCTGACAAAAAGCCTCCATCATCCATTGGGAATGTCTCCATTAAGAATTTTTTGGTCAGATTAAGTCATGCTTCTTGGCTCAAGGAAGCATTTGGGACCCCAAGGTAGCTTAGAGAAGACACAGACTCTGGTGCACAGACTATTATACAACAGGGCACTTTATTGAACTCATAACGTCTGGGATAAATGATGGACCTAAGGCTATGGATATCTCTTCAGCCGAGATTCCAAAGAGTACATTAAGTCCTCACTTAATGTCATCAATAGGTTCTTGGAAACTGTGACTTTAAGTGAAATGACGTATAATGAAATCAATTTTACCATAGGCTAACTGATCTAAACAAGAGTTAAGTTTCTATGCCATATTTCTGGTCACAAAAACATCAAACTTCTAAATAACGACCCCAAATACTTCTAATATTAAACACTGAAATAAACGTGATCTACACATATATTCGAGAAAGATGAATAGAAACAAGATGTCCAGAGTCTTGGGTGGCTGAAGCCTATCTTGGCAGCTCAAGACACTATTCCATTGGAGAGTACACTCACGCTTGTTCAGACTGGGACCACTTAGACACACCAATGAACCTAATGTGCACATCTTTGGGATTTGGGAGGAAACTGGAGCACCCAGAGAAATCAAGCACACATGGTGAGAACATGCAAACTCCAGAGGCCCTGGCCAGGAATTGATTTTTTTTTCTCATCAACGTTAGAACAATGTTGAATGAAAAAACTTATTGGAGGACCTGCTGTACTTTGAAAAATGCAGATTTTAAGAATACATATAGATTAAGAACACATCCTTCTCCCACTGCAGTTGACAACACTATCCCAATTCTAGTTCCCATTTGGCACCAGGACAGCCAAGGATATTGTCTGGGGTGGAGTAAATGGCTGTCATTGTGGTCTTTGCCATTAATTTAGAGATTTCAGTCCTCAGAAGTGTTCTATGTTCTCATGAGCTCCTGACTTCTTGTGACCTTCTTATACAGACTGAGAGTTTGATTTTTATTAAATATCAACTCCAAGTGTATTGCTTATCTCCTCCCTAATATCTATCTAATATCTCCTCCCTCATCAATAAATCAGACGAATATGTCATAGGTCCCATTTATGAACTAGGAGACGGCGAGGGTAATTGGTATCAAAATAATGATAGACAAAGAACTTGTATGGTGATACTATGCTTAACTCCAAACCCTTGTGGCTTCATTTGGAAGCCAGGAACCCTCCCTCACACAGATTTCTATCCAGTAACAGGTTTCTATCCAATGTTAATTTTGTCATATTATTTAAAGAACAATCTTTGACAAATGTTTTATTATATTCATGGGATTCCCTGCAGTATAAATTCATGGATGTTGAATGAGTTCTGCACCCTGACTGAAGGTACTCCTGCATTTCTTCCTTTTTCAGGACTTATCGAGTATGGAGTTTTTGATGTTTAACAAGGTTTGAACCCCTGTTGAAGGTTTTCTTACATTCCTTACATGTGAATGGTTTCTCTCCTGTATGAATCATTTGATGTCGAATAAGGGAGGAGCTCCGGTTGAAGGATCTCCCACAGTCAATACATTCATAGGAATTATCTTGAGAATAGCATCCTGGATTTTTATTACTGTTTTCACTCGTACTGAAGGCTATTTCACATTTATTGCCTTCACATGCCTTTGCTTTAGTATGAACTTTTTGATGCTTAGAAAGGTTTGTACGTCGGTTGAAGAATCTTCCACATTCACTGCATTTATAGGGTTTCTCTCCTGTGTGAATGATCTGATGTCGAATGAGGGATGAGCTTCTGCTGAAGGCTTTTCCACACTGATAACATTCATAGGAATTCACTGTAGTATGACATTTTTGGTGTTGAATAATATCTGTACTCAGGCTCAAGGCATTCCCATATTCATTATATTCTGAATGTGGCTCACTTACTGAATTAAATCTGAAGTTAGTTTTAAACTTATCACACTCTGGGGACCCCTTCCTTATAGGAATTCCTTGTTGTACATCACAAATTGAGTTAATCGAGTTAACATCAAAGCTTTTCTTGTTTTCACCACATTCAAAGTCTCCCTCCTCAGTGTAGACTGTCGTATGAATGAAAGCTTCTGGTGACAAATTTATGTCCCAGTTTTTCTGGTTCCTACATAACCAATCCTCACTTTTCCAGACATCTAAGGAAGAATGTTCACTTTTGGTAAGCCTTGTCATAATCACTCCATGGGATGATTCTTCTCTAGAAACTCTCTGCTGTGGAATTGAATCCTGGTTTTCTGAAACAGTCTTAACGTCTAAAAAGAAATAAAAAAAATACCATGAACTATAAGGGAAACTACTTAATTAGGAAAGGGCAGCTAAACCATATAAGGGTGTATGTGTACACCATAGGTCTTAAATACAGAATGCAAATGTTAGATGAGGTTAAAAAAAGACTTAGAAATAAATGGTATAAAAATGTTAAAAAGGGGATTAGGAAATCATAAAATATAAAGAGAGCTATTCAGGAATATTAAGGAGGGCTCAGGTAAAATATCAGTTCATGATCTAGGATGAGGTGGTGTATCATAATTTAAGCTATCACTTGGCTCAATAACTAGTCTGTGAAGTTTCCACCTAATCTTCCTTTCTCTAGCATTTTCTTTTAATCCAGTTATTGTTTACCAATAAGCCTTCCTATATATACCGATTTAATCATAACTTTAAGTACATTGTCTGTATTCCCAGCCCCCATACCTTAACCAGCTAAAAGCAAACTTACAATCATAGTGCTCCTATTTTCCATACAGCTACACTTACTCCCCGTATGTAACAAAGGCACAAAGAATTGTAATATTAAGGTAGCAGGGAAATCATCCTCTTTCTGGGCTCAAAATAACTCTTGATTCTACCATTAGTGACTTGATACTTTTCCACTGTACTTGCCAGAACTCAAACCTTTACCTGTTCTGACTAAGGCTGGGTTCTCCTCCTTTCTCCTGTCCTTAGTTTCCGTTTCATTTAATTTCCATTTTCCTTCTCAAAATTCCTTTTTCATTTAGCTTCTATATAAACATACTCAGCATACTATATACTCTACAAATTTTTAAAAATTAAATTTCACTGACTTCTTTCTCCTTTTCCATGTAACTTCAGATATGCCTAATGATTTTACCCTTCATGCTTTATTGATAGTCAAATTATAATTTCGGCTTTGCACTCACATATATTACTGTTCCTTATTTTCACCACTCTCCAGGACACCGCCAACTTGACTATCCTACTGTCTTCCAACTTAAAAAATGAGACACTATGGTTATCATCATCCATGTTGAAAGAACTTCCTTCAATGTTTTCATTTTTGTTCAGTCAGTCACTGTTCTTCTGATATTTATACTAGAGTCCATAAAAAAGCTTCAATAACTATTCCTTTATCTCTCATATTTAATCTGTGCTTAGGTACTATTATTTTATTTTATATTTTATAAAGTTTCCTATCACTGCCTCTGCCAGTGTACATTAGGTATGTGGGGCAGATATCTTGTCCCTTTCATTCATAGGTCTTCCTATTAGATGATGAGATCCTGGACTTCAAGCTTGATGCCATAATGGGATGAGACTTTTTAGGGTCTTAGGAAAAGCAAATATATTTTACAAGGGGGAAGAACACAGATAATTTATGACCAGAGGACCGAGTATGGTAAATTAAAATGGTTACACATTTTTTGCCCCTCTCCCTGTATAGAAGTAGAGTTTATTTTTCTTCCTCTTGAACCTGGGCTGATCCTGTGACTGCTTAGCTAACGGTATGTGGCAGAAGTGATAGCATGCCACTTCTGGGCCTACCCTTTAAGAGACTGACAGCTTCTGATACCTCTCAATGTATTTCCTCTTAGAACCTCGATGCCATGCTCTGAGAAGCCCAAGCCTGTGGTGCTCTAGGATCCACATTACCAGATAAGTTCCCTGGGACAGCTGGTATTAACGTCCAACCGTGAGATGTGCCACCTTAGACATTCCATCCCATTTGAGCCCCTGGAACACTGCAGCCCCATCTAACATCATATGGAACATAAGAACTGCTCAATCAACTCACAAAATTTGAGAATTAATAAGATGATTCCTCTTTTAAATCACTGTTTTGGGGTAATTTGTTAGAAGCAATAGGTGACTAAAACAGTAGTTGTTCCACAAGTATTAACAGCAAAATTCCTAATAGTATTGCCCTAAGTAAATCTTTGTTGTTCTCGTGTTTATACAACTCATTTTTCAAGTAACTTCCTCACTCCTATTTTTAAAATCACTTTCATGTATTTTGTCATTTTCGAGTCACTTAGTTCTGATCTGTAGAAAAGCTACTAATATTTTTTATATCTGACCACCTTACAAATGGAAAGTTATCATTTGCAAAAAGCTTTCCCTCTCCTTTTCAAATAAATTTTTCATTTCTCATATATGGTTCATGTATTTTTCATTAGTTAAGTCTTTTAGGCCAATATTAAATAATTGTGGTTAACAGGCCACCACCCAAAACTCTTAACAAATATAACAGTTTTGATATTGAGTCTCTTGGATTTTTCTAAATAGAAAGTTATTGTATGCAAATGGTTTTAGCTCTTTTCTAACAATTAAATTTCTCATTTCTATTTCATTTATTTTTCTTTCATTAGTTAAGTCTTTTGGGTCAATATTAAATGATTATGGTAACAGACATTCTTATCTGATGATTGTAGTGGTAATGTTTTAGCTTTACACACAATGTTAACCCCTAGTTTGTTTTCCTTTGGCTCTCACCAAATAGATGCCAAAGCATTGGCTTATTCCTGACCACTAATTCCAAACTCACGAACTATGCATTTTCTATGACACTTTGTTCCTGCCTGTAATCTAAAATAAGAATGAACACTTACAACCTTAATCTATAACCTCAACCCTGAGTCTCTGCCTACATCTTTCCTGGAGACCAGCTCATGCCGAATAATCTCTGCCTTTCTTTGGCCTATCTGAAAATTTCCCACAGTTACTCAAAAACAGTCCAGTGGCTTATCTATGCTTATATATTAAAATCTATAGGTTTTAACTAATTAATCAGAATTCAGAAACCACAGAGATACAACATCACAAAGACAATGGCTTAAAAAAACAAACCAAAATGTTAATACTGTCTAGCTCTGAGCAGTGAGATAATAGGTGAGTTATGTTTCTCTTCATACTTTTCTATATTTACTAAAATTTGTATTAATCTCACAATTTTAAACAATTTTATATTCTCTCACAAAGCATTAACAAGAATAAAGAGATTATGACGAAGGTAGAGAGTTAAAGGCACAAGAAGCTCTACAGTTAAAAAAAAAAAAAAAAGGAAAAATGGAAGATTACTAGAAATCACTCTAATATAAAGCAGATTTGTTTTCTTTAAAAGAAAGAATAACATTTAATGTTCGGTTGACTAATGTTTATTTAGCACTTACCTTGCTCCAGGCAGTAAGTGTGTTAGACATACCAATTCATTTAATCTTCACAATAACCTAGAGGCAGGCACTATTATTAACTCTGTTACAGATGAGGAAACTGGCAGAAAGGCTGCCCCAGGTCACACAGCCTTAAGTTAAGTATCTGTGGTCCTAATTCATGATACAACTTTGTCACATTAGAAAAAGAACCTGTGAAAAAAGGCAATGATGCTTTTTTTCTCCATCAAAGTTTAGGTAGTTTTGTTGTCACCTCTCCAACTAACAATTCGAGGATTGTGTTGCCCATTGTGTGTTTAACGAAAAGAAGGTTCTTACAAATGCCTCATATCTTCTGCTTCTTACCCAAAACAGTTCTCCTTGGGATTTCTTCCTCCATTATCCATCTTTTTTTTTTACTCTCCAACTCAGGGATCTCAACTGGTTTGGTGAGTAAATTCACTGTTCATGGGGAAAATAAAAATCACAACGACAAACAAACATGACACTTCAGACATTTTTATAGGGAAGAGAATTCCATTCCAACCCAGTAGTCTAAGCTGCTGAAGGATAAGGCCAGAAGAGCACCATGAAAGGACTTTCAACCAGTAGGTAAATCTTCTATTATGTGTCCAAAAGATATTAAGAAACCTGAACCCAGACCCCAAAATGAATTTAACCACTTCAGCAGTCCTATAGCTTTTAACAATAGGAGACTACTCATGGACAGATTAGGTAAATACATAGAAGCCACCTTTATGCAACGAATTCAGGTTCCTATAGTTCTCCAGCATCACATCCCTGTACAGGTTCTTTACAGCAGGGTCTAGTTGCCCCCACTCTTCCTCGCTGAATTCCACAACCACATCCTTGAATGTCACTGGTTCCTAAAACATTAAGTTCCTTTTTTATCAAAAGTCACTCCTGAAGATATTACCAGAAGAGGAATGAATGTGGAAAGAATAGGGTAGGAGCCAGAATATACAAGATATTGACAGGAAAATGTTTGGGGTTCTAAGTTATGAAATCAAATTATATTAAGGGACAATCAACTTGGTACTATACATACACTCTGAGGGGTACAAAAGAAAAGTGAATTGCAGTCCTTATTCTAGATTAGCTTACACTTTGGTTAAGGAGAAAAGGACAACTGAAATAATTGTGCAACAAAAAATTACTACAGAGTACAAAGAATTTACATCATAGTAATCCAGAACAGAAAGAGTTTATGGTAGATTTCAGGGAAATTTGTAATGAAAACATAGGCTCTGCTGAGAGAAGAGGTAGGACATTTTCTTTAATTGAGAAATGCAGCCTGCTCCTATCATTCAGGACTCACAGCTCATTGTCACTTTGTCTGACAGGCAAGATTGCCTGATTACCCCAAGTAGCCTCCCTGCTAATCAGTCTCTACCACATTACACATTATGTTTCTTTCTTTTCTAATAATTACCACTATCTGCAATTATCTTGTTTGTTTGTGGCTGTATACCTCAACTGGAATGTAATCTCCACAGGGCAGGGGTTTTGTTTACGAATCATTGTTAGCCTTAGAAAAGTGTCTGGCATATTAGGCATTGCATAAATATTTGTTAATGAATAAATTGCCTCCTGTCTCCTACCATCAATCATTCTACTTCTCTCTCCAGCATCTCAACCTTGTCTTTATTGGCACCTTCAATATATACAAATCTCTTCCTTTCCTCTCCTTCAGAGTTAGTTTTTGTGAATAAGCTGTCTACATTAATTTTGTTTATTTCCTCATCTTCTCCTCTTTCCTCAACTCATCACAACCTGGCTTCTATTCCTGTGCATGGTAGTATCTCCATGATGATGAGTAAATAGACATTACTTGAGCTGTATTATCTTGACCTTTTAAAGCATTTCTCTTTTAAAGATTCTCATCCTTTGGACATATTTCCCTGGTTTTCTTCTGTCTTTGGTCCTTTCTTTTCAGCATCCTTTGAGGTTTCTTCTATTTCTGCCTAGCAAATGACACAGCTCAGGATTCTACCCTTGGGCCCCCTTCACTTTTAATTTTAAACATTCTGGAGTAGGCTCTATTTCTATAGCTTCAATTATTGTCTATATTCTTGAGGGAACAGATAGAGTATATAAAGCTAAGAGAAAATATTAATACTTTCCAAAGATGGTATTATCAACTAAAATAGATCCAATGCCCTCTGAGAGAATAAGAATCTCATGTCCTTCGATGGAACTATGTTTGCAAAAGTTCAAAGATCAAAAAAGTAAATGCAAGTCATACTAAAAAAGAGCATACATTTCAAGTAAAGAATGGAATCCTAACTCACCTGGAGTCTGTCTGTTAGTGAGTCAGCTTCTATTTTCTCCTCCTGGATGCTCCCGTTTTGGAGGACAGAATCCTTGCAGAATGTATCTGAGGAAGATGAAGGAAAACATCAAGGATACAAGTTTTGTCCTGGAGCAACTTTTAATGATTATAGCAGTTGTTTTAACAAGTTATCCATAGAAGTTATCTGTAAAACTTTGAAAAAAATAACGACCTCAGGCCCTACCAGCAAATAGGATCTCTAAAGGTAGGGCCTAGATCTTATATTAATATTTTTTAAACAGTCTAAAAGTGATTCTGATATTCTATCAGGGGTTGAGATCTCTTAAATCAGAGAAAGGGCAAAAATAATATTTTCAGACTTCATCTGTGGTTATAGTAGATTCCAAAAAACAACTTTAATCCTGTCATAATTAAAGCCTAATTACAGTTTAGCCATTGCAAGTTATAATTCTATTTGGAGGTAAGAGTATCTTATCCAACCAATCCCTTCTTCAAACACACCAGGAAGAACTCTGTTCAAGGTTGCTTTCCTCCAAGTTGCTCTGTGTATACTATATATAGACGTAAGTAATCTGGACATCTTGAACTACTGATTCTTTCAGGACATAAAATTCTGAGAGGCAACCAATTTTCTTCCCCAGCCCATTGGTGAGAAGTTTATCCAAGGGCCACTTTAGAAGTTTATCCAAGATTAATGAGCTACACCAGTGATTCTCAAATGCCAGACTATGGACCAATACTAGTCTGTGAGGAAGTTTTCATTGATTCAGGGTAAAATGAGAAAAAAATCCAGAAATAATGTAATAAGTTTGTTATAATATCACATTTATTCAATTTAAAGGACTATATATTGAGGTCAAAATGTCTTTTGTTTTGTGTAATGTGATAATTAATGATTTAAAAAATGTTCTTCCTCGAAAAAAAGAGGTGGCAAAACTACATCACCCCTGCTCCCATTTTTTTAAACTTTTAATGACCTTTGAAATCCCTCAAAATCTGAGAACCATGCAGTTACATAAAAATAAGCATTAATCCTCCATCATTAATGTACAATTGGATTCAAAGACAAATAAAACAACTGCATGGGGGATTTCTTAAAACGCATCTAAATTTCTCAGCAACATGCCATCTGAATGCTGCAGAGATTATGGTCTGCTAACTTTAAATAGATCTGTAACACCTTGAGGAACCTCAATCTGTTCAGTCCTTAGGATAGTCAATATGATATTGTTCATACTTATTCTTGTCATTCTTGGAAATGTGAGCTATCTTAGAAAGGTGCAAATACCTCCAATCAGCTATTCTCTTACTTACTGCTCTTTTTGAATACCCTTTCCTTCCCTTACTACTTCCCTGATGAACTTCTTGAAACTTTATTACTGTGTTCTCTGAAACTCTCATTCCATTCAAAGAAAAATCCATATACATTCTCAAGTTCTTTTTAGAATATTCCTTTTCTCCATCTCCCCCTCCCTGCCTTTTTTTTTTTAAACAGAATCTCCCTCTGTCGCCCCAGCTAGAGTGCAGCGGCGTCATCACAGCTCACTGCAACCTCAAACTCCTGGGCTCAAGCAATCCTCCCCCCTCAGCCTCCCAGGTAGCTGGGCTACAAGGCACGTACCACCACATACAGCTAATTTTTCTGTTTTCTGTAGAGACAGGATCAAGCTCTTGTTCAGGCTGGTCTCCAACTCCTGACCTCAATCCTCCTGCCTCCCATAATGGCCATGAAAGCCACCTCTTTGCACCCTCCAAGTACTATGATCTTGGAAGTTGTTCTGATATACTTGTACCTCCCTATTCCTACTTCCTCATAATAAATTCTCTCATGCAAAATAAGATTTTTAGAGGTTCATGCTATTTAGCTATACCATCTTAATGTAACATTAAGCTATTGCATTCATTCTTCAACATATTTACTGAATAATCTATAATCACTATTACATTCCCACCTTCTATTTTTTTTTTTTTTTGACCCATGTAATGGGCAGAAAAATAGCCCACAATGATGTCCATACCCTAATCCTCAGATACATGGCAAACGGAACTCTATAGATGTGACTGAAGTCCAAGACCTTAACATGAGATCAACCTGAACTACCTAGGTTGTCCCAATCTAATCACACGAATACTGAAAAGTAGAGAACCTTTCCAGCTGAAGTCAGTGGTGGGGGATAGGGGTAGGTGTGCATACTGTGACAACAGAATACAGTGTCAGAGACATGGCAGTATATGAAAAGGACCTGGCCCACTGTTGCCAGCTTTGAAGATGGGGGAAGGGGACCATAAGTCCCAGAAAGGAACACATTACTACCATTCCACTGATTTCAGCCTAGGGAGACCCAAGTTGGACCTCTGATCTACAGACTTGTAGAATAATACATTCATGCTGTTTTAAGCCACTATGTTTATGGTAATTTGTTATAGTAGAAATAGAAAACGAGTATAATCCATTACAAATAAGCACCCCCTCAACTCCTCTGAAACTGCTTAAACTAAGTCTTCAAATTCCTGCACAATTTCAATAAATTACTTTCAATACACATCTTAATAGGACCTTTTCATGGCACTGCTATTGAACACTCCCTCCTTGAAGATTTCTTCTCTTAGCTCAGACACCAATCTTCACCGATTCTTTGACTTCTAGATTATTCTTTCTAGCCTTCTTACCTGGCTTCTCTTTTGTTCAGCTCATCACTTATTTTATATTTGCTTAGATAAGGACAAAATATAACCACAATACCAACATAATCACTGTCCCCAACCAATAACTCCTTATCAAATATCCAATTGCCTTATGTCTTATAAGGTCTACACATTCACATGATTCTAAATCCCTTTGCCATACCCGTCCCTGCTCCCTTAGAAACTGTCTCATAGTTTCCCACAGTTTGGATTTTATGAATGGCATTATTGTGGTCTAGTTTAATATGTTCCTCTATCCTCTACATTTCTTGTAGTTGGTAGTTAGATATTAAACAGCTCTTAAATATTGATGCTGTTTTAGGATTTGTACATTTCCTACTTCTGCTCATACCTATAAGCTTCCAAATCTTCTCTTACTGAACACTAAAGCCATATTGTTAACTTTATATTGGATTATTCATTGTGGAAGTCCCACAGGGACCTCAGATGCAACATGCCATATAATTAATGTATTCTGCCCCCATCCACAAAATTTACTACTTACATTCCATTCATGCAAGCCAGTACATGTGAGTTTACGTTAAAACTTATCCTATTCATACCTTATCTAGTCAATAATTCCTTTCAGTTCAAATCCTGTTTTCCTAAAGCTCATTCTCTAATACCTGATCTATTTCAACTATCTCCTAACAGGTTTTCCTATTTTCAGAATCCTCAGGTCTCTCTTTTATATAAGAAGTCAGTAAACTTCTTCTGTAAAGGTCCAGATAGTAAATATTTTAGGCTTTGCAGGCAATATAGTCTCTGCTACAACTGCTCAACTCTGGTGGTAGCATGAAAGCAACCATAGACAAAATGTAAATAAATGGATGTGGCTATGCACCATATAACTTTTATTTCCAAAAACATCTGGCCTGTGGGCCATGTTTTGCCAACTCCTACTCTACGATGATGCCAATGTAATATTTTTAAAAGGCAAATCAAACTGTTACTCCCCTATTCAATCTGTGAGATCTAATTCTCTATTTCTATTACCTACAGAATAAATTTCGGGCTTCCTAATACAGTAATATAAAGTCCTTCACGATCTAGCACTTGACATTCTCTGGCTTCAGAAAAAGATAACTTCTCTTCAGACAGGAATGGTCAACTATTCTACCTCTAATTTTCTATGCTCTCACCTTCGTCTTTAAGCATTTCAATCACATCTTCTATGAGGCTCACCACATCTTTGCTATTCTTTGGATGCTGTAAATTCACCAAAGTCCTGACTTCTTCAGGGAGGATTGCCAAGAATTGTTCTAGCACCAACAGTTCTAGGATCTGCTTCTTTGTATGAATCTCTGGTCTTAGCCACTGAAGACAGAGTTCCCAGAGTTGGCTCAGGGCTTCATGGGGCCCAGACACTTCCAAATACTGGAAATATCTGAACTTTTGACGAGATGCCTCGGAGTCATATGTCTCCACCATGGGGATGGTTTCCTGCTGCCAAGACACATCTGCTCTCAGAACCTCACTTTGTTCATGTAGAGCCAGGTTTTGAGGTTTGGAGATAGCCATCAACTTGTTCAGAAGCTGCATCTTCCTAAGTAGAACTCCCACTGTAGTCTAAATGTGTCTTACTAGAGGGTTCCAATAATTCTCAGGCTTGAGCTAAGCACCTGCGTACCATATGCAGTGTACTTAAGACAAGTTCTATCACAGTAAGGAGAAAAGTTCCAGGAACTTCGGACACAAAACCAATATTCAGCTACCTGAGAGACTGAAAAAAGAAGAAATATAACCATAGGTAACAAACATCTATTAGCATAGTGTTAAAAGATAAAGTAGTATAAATATTATTATTAAAATTACCTAAGAAAAATGAGTATGAATTTGTGCTATTTTTGTGTTTTTATCTTGGAAGAGAAAAATGTTTTCCCTTTCTCCCAAAAGACAGAGAGAAACAAACACAAATAGACATTCCAAAACAAATGATAGAGGAAATAGTCCTTTGATTTAAAAAACTTCATAATTTCATTGCAATTAGATTTCTTCTGTATCAGTTAACAAGCCATTTTTGCTTTAAAACTAAGCAAAACAAATCTTTGGATAGGATATTCAGGTTATTAAGGCTTCAGACTAGATATGCCTGAAAAACATTTTCCCAAGTTGTCATTAAAATACCAATAAATTTCTATAAAATGAGTAAAATTGGCAACAGCACTAGAAATTAAGGTAAGAGACATTAAAAATACATTAGAATAATATCCATGAACATTTCATTATTAGGTATAAATCAAAAAGTACATTCCCAGACTACAATAATTAAAAGTTTCCATTTGTTAGGATTTACTATTGGCCAGTATGCAATGCCCACCAGGGGGTCTTAGGCACAACTAAACACTTAGACTCACAGATTACCATAGGTCCTATTTGGCAACAGTTTACTCAGAAGGCAAAAAGCACAGCATGGTAGCAGAGAATAGGCATTTTTCTGCAGTGAGAGTCTTTGCAGAGCATAGCTCAAGTACAGGGATAGGAGACACATATAGGGGGTGCAGGAATCACCCTGACTGAAAAGCCTTCCCACTGGATCCAGTGTCTCTTGTGATAACTGAGCACAGCTTGTAGGGTTGGCCCAAAGAGCCTGACAAATTACAGGAGTCACTACATTCAGGGAAGTCCAGATACAGTCTGCTATGTGATTTATAGTTCTCCCAGTCCAGACCCAATTTGCTATTCAGGGGTCATTTTTATGATAAGTCTCTAGGCCAGTGCTTCTCAACCAGGGGAGATTTTTGCCACCAGGGGAAATCTGTCAATGTTAGGAGACAGTTTTGTTGTCACGGCAGGGGGTTGTTACTGGCATCTAGCATGTGGAGGCTAAGAATGCTGCTAAATACCCTACACAGGACAGCCCCCTATAGTAAAGAATTATCCATTTCCCAAATGTCAATAATTCCAAGGTTGAGAAACTCTGCGACAGGCAATATATAGCGGATAAGAATACATACTTTGGAGTCATACCAACATGAGTTTAAATCCCAGCTGTACTTTTAATAGTGACTACATGTATAAACTTGAGCAAATTATTTTAACCCAAACTTGAATTCTCAACTGTAAAATGGATATGACAATATCTGATTCAATTATAGGGAGTAAAAGAGTTCTTATCTTACTTCTTGGCACATAATAAGCACTCAATCACATGTACACATGCATGTCCCAATATGTTAGATCTTATATATTGACCAAAACTTTGTGTGACCCTGTCTACTGGCAATGCCTACGTGAACAGATCATTCGACATTCAAAAAGGATTAGTGAACCAAGTGGGAGGATATATGAAAAGACAGTTTAGGAGAAGGCGAAAAAGCACAATTCTTAAAAGTCGGGGCAAAAGAACATTTTAGAATATGACTTTGCTTTAAAAAGTTTGGAAATGGGTGGAATCTGTAAGACTAAAGGCAAAGAAAATGTACAATAGCACTGTATTCTAGTTGGTAAAATGATTCCCCATGAGGGTACAGGTTAACAATTCTGATACTGCTATAAATGTGTACTAGAATTGAACAAATGAATAAAAGGCAGATAGTAAGAGGTAGGTTTCTCAATGTTTAAGTAGGAGTTTACAGATAACCAAGGGAAGTTTTTGGCTAGAACGATCCATGTAGTAATGGATTAGAGTTGGAGACATAATCATGAACTTGTGTTTAGCTTAATTTATATGAACATGGTTACATACAGAAATATTTATAGATATGTGCATATACACAGATTTGTATAAACACTTATTTCCTTGCTCTGTCAGCTGATCAGATCAAGAAGCAACAACACCCCAGCAGCAATAGAACACCTAGCTCCCACATCTTGGTTTCTAACATCATTCTCCAATAAGGAGGAAGAGGACTTCTTGGAGAAATGGCTGATTCTAAGTTATACAAGATGAGCATGGAGCATCTTATAGTGCCAGAAGCAAAGAAGTGCTTAAAAATAAAACAAAAACAAAACACTTATTGGGGCATGTCAAAGGCATACAGAGCTCCCTATGGCCAAAAGCTGGAACAATATGAGCAACACAATAAAGTAATATTAAATTATAACTTGAACTATAAATACCCATGAGCCATAATGATATAAATGATAGCTTACTGAATACCTAAATGAGGGAGAAGAGACAAATCTCCTATGCAGAAGAATTCCAAATAATTTATACAGATACTCAGCTGTCCAGGAAGCAGAGCATAACTCCCCATCCCTTGAATACGGGTTCAGCATGGGGATTTCCTTCCAAAGAGTATAGTATGGGACAGGAAATAGAGTAAATAACAGTGGAAAAACCTGACAAACACACTATCTCAAGCTAGGTGATCAAGATTACATCTAACAGTGATAAGTCACATTGACAGTACGTACGCTTGAGACAATGTGATGAAAATTGCATTTTACTTCTATGATCTTCCTGCTCCAACCCCACAACCCCAATCTAATCATGAGAAAAACATCAAATTCCAACAGATGGGCCTTCTAAAGTACTTGACCAGTTCTCCCTCAAAACTGTCATTACCATCAAAAACAGGGAATACCTGAGAAATTGTCACAACCAAGAGAAGCCTAAAGAGACATAGCAACTAAAAGTAATGTGGTACCCTGGATGGGAATCCTGATCAGTAAAAGAGATGTCAGGTAAAAACTAAAGAAATCTGAATAAAGTATGGACTTTAGTTAATGTAATATTTCATTAACTGTAACAAATGTACTGGACTAACATAAAATGTTACTAATAGGAGAAATGAGTGTGGGGTATATAGACACTCTCAGCTGTACTATCTTCAATTTTCCTGTAACTTTATTCAATTTATTTAGAAATTTTTTATTTTTATTTATTTTTTTTGGCCCTGTGAATGCAAGCTCCCAAAAGGATTCCTCACAGCAAATGTAAAGCCACAGAGGCTGCTGCCTTCTGGCTTGAAAGATCCCATTCAGGTTGCCATGGCCAGGAGAGGGAAAGAACAGTGGTACCCTTCCTGGGTCTCACTGGATAGGAAATCGCTTCCAGTTGTCATGAAACAAGTCCTTCCTGAAATGAATCCCTCTTGGGTACTCCCTGACATCTCCTCAGACCCTGAACAAAAGTCCATCTTTCTCCCTATTTGCACCTGCCGAGGCCTACAGTTAATTAAACAGATGGAAACCTGCCACACCTGTTAACATTCTTGACTCTCTTGATCTGGCCTTGTCAGCTCTACCTGTGGTTTATGCAGTTAATTGTATTTTTTTCAGATCACCAACAACTTCCAGACAGATCCTTCTCTACCCGCTCTAAAAATATACCACTCAGCCCTCACCCCATGAGGATACACAAACAAAAAAGCTACAAAGGGGCCGGGCGCGGTGGCTCACGCGCTAGGATTACAGAATCCTAGCACTCTGGGAGGCCGAGGTGGGCGGATCCTTTGAGCTCAGGAGTTCGAGACCAGCCTGAGCAACAGCGAGACCCCCGTCTCTACTAAAAATAGAAAGACATTGGACAAACAACTAAAAATAGAAAAAATTAGCCGGGCATGGTGGCGCGTGCCTGTAGTCCCAGCTACCTGGGAGGCTGAGGCAGGAGGATCGCTTAAGCCCGGGAGTTTGAGGTTGCTGTGAGCTAGGCTGACGCCACGGCACTCTAGCCTGGGCAGAGTGAGACGCTGTCTCCAAAAAAAAAAGGAATATGTTGGGGTATATTGAATTAAAATTATAATGAATTAAAAATACAAATGCATTAAATTAGACAAAGGACATTAAATGAGAGAATAACTCAAAATGAAATAATTGCCATTAAATGTATCAAATATACTTGAAACATTTTAAACAAAACTATCAGAAAGCAAGAAATGAAATCAATGATACAACAGAAATGGGATATTAGGCAACTTTCTGAGTCCTTAATAAAGTAAAATTAAGTAACAGTATGGTGTATATAAATGATTGACTAATTGGTATACAGGTGTATATACATATATAAATAGGTATATAAATAAATAGGTATATAAACCAGATAGAATGTAGCTTTTATTCAAGTATCTATAGGAATGTTTACAAAAGCTGCTATTAGGCTACTAAAAAGAAAATCCTCAGTAAATAAAAAAAGCAAACAAGAACAGTGGAGACTACATTTTTTTACCAAAATGCAAAACTTGAAATTAACACCAAACATAGAAAAAATAATTCCAACTACTTGGAAATTTAAATTTTGCTTCTAAAAGATAACCAGATAAGAGAGAATCAAAAGCACAACTGAAAAATATCTAAAAACAATAAAAATATTGCACATCAAAATCTACAGAGCACAGCTCAAGCTCTACTGCTATGCAATGGCAAAGCCTCACACATAACTTAAGAATGAGATGAATTAAACATTCAACTCAGAAAGTGAAAAAAAGCAACAAAATATACTGGGGGCGATTTATAGGTTAGAAACATAAATTAATGAATTATTCAGTATAAATAATTACGGAGCTAGGAAAGGTATAGATGCTCAGGATGATATGCTTGCATTTAAGATTTAAGAGAAGGAACAGTTTTGAAGATTCAAGGTCCAAGGACTGGTATGA